AGGGGGAAAAAAGATCTTTGTCCTTCTTTAGCATGTGAACAGGATGGTGTAAAAGGAGGAAATATATGGATAAAAGAACTGCTCTTGTTTATAGAACAGATTTTTAGCATCTTGCAGGAAAGAAATTATATGGAATGTATGCGGGAGGATTTTGTAAGGTCACCCCCAATTGTTTTGTCAAAGCCATTCAGGTTTGGAGGTCATACCATGATTTAAAATGCTTTCTTCCTCTTTCCTATGTAACAAAAACAAATTGTAGGCATAAAACTTGTAACCTTGGTTTGTTGGAGCTTTTTTTTCCAGGGCTTTTTTTTTTTTTTTTTTTGGCAAGGAGCCCCATAATCAGTATAATGTAAGAGCCCCATAATGCAGTTTGTATACTATAGACCAATAAAAAAAAATACTTCATTGGATCTATCTCCAGTTGCTTTGGTTCCTCCTGCAAAGAGACAGTTCCAGAACCGAAGGAAAAGGATTGATCTTTTGATCCTCTGCATTCACCATCGTTTTATGCATCATGCTGGTATTCCTCTCTCCCTCTGATTATTTATTTATTTGCTGTTTTATTTAAATCCTGCCTTTATTGTTATTGTTTTTTATAAACAACCCAAGATGGCGAACATATCTAGTAATCCCTTCAACGTCTTGTTTTCCCCACAACAACAATCCTGTGAAATGAGCTGGGGTGAGAGAGAGTGACCGACCCAAGGTCATCCAGATGGGTTTCATGCCAAGGTGGGACTAGAACTCACAGTCTCCCAGTTTCTAGACTGGTGCCTTAACCATTAGACCAAACTGGCTCTGTTTATGAAGTAAAGCTTTTCAGGTACAGAAATATTTATTTCTAAGTGCATATTTTTAAGAGCCCACTGTTGCAAAGGCAAATGTAGTCATCATTTACAGTAATGATTTACACCTCTTGCTGATTGTCATTATCCTAGCAACATACATACAGTAGTGGCCAAAATTGTGGAAACCTTGGGAAAAGTGTATTTTCTAAAACTAGCTAATAAGACCACTTTGTTTTGGAGTAGTACCATAAAATTATATATCAATGGAAAGATAATTTAATCAAGAATGTAATGCAATCATTTTTATGAATGGTTTGCTATTATAATAGCAGTTACAGTATAAAGAAGAAAAGCGAAACGCTAGAAAAAACGAGATATACAAAAATTATCACCATAGAAAAAACGAGATATACAAAAATTATCACCATGTCAGTTAATCCTTAGTTGGGTAACCTTTAGCATAAATTATGGCCTTACAATGTCTTCCCATGGAGTGAACCAAGTCTTTTAGTTCTGCAGCTATTATAATGTGAAACCAAGATTGAATGATTGCTTCTATTAACTGGGTTTTATTGCTGGGTTGCTTCTGACTAACAAGTTTCTTGAGTCAGCTCCATAGATTTTCAATTGGGTTAAGGTCTGGGCTATTCCCAGGCCATTCCAGCAGTGGAATATGATTATCTTGAAACTCAAAAAAAAAAAAAAAAAAGGTGTTTTAGCCATCAAACCTCAAAGATACACTTTTCCCAAAAGGTTTCCACAATTTTGGCCACTACTGTATATGCTTAGAAAGAACTGAATCACATCTAATAGCCACATATAACTCCATTTTACTATTGTTTTCTTATCTTAAAGTTCTGGATGACAGTTCATATATCTCTTAGACAAATCCCACATAAATCAGCTTATATATCTACTTCTATCAGTATATTGGAATGCCAGTTTGCATAATTTGTGGCCAGCAAAGATAATATAATTTGTTAGCTGCATTTAGAATGCCATGCTTCAATAGTTATATTACCTAAAACAGATGCATTTTTCATTAACTCTCTTTTGGTGACACAATATTTATGGTGTGGCTATTCTTGCATTAGGTCTAACTCTGCAGAGGTGAACATGATGTTCCTTGATAGTTGAAATATATCAATTATTTTAGCATTCTAAGAGACTGAACAGTTGCAATATGTCATAAATTAACTTATATAAATAAATGCATTGTGAATTAAAGTATTCCACTTTCTTACACCAACATATCTTGTACAATAAGAAGTACTATAGATATTATTTCATTTTTTTTCTGTGCTTGGGGTATATCAGATTGATTTATTTAACATCATATTTCCTATATAAACAACAATATAAAACAAGCAATTAAATTTCTTATAACAGTTCGAGAGAGTCAATATATAAAATGAGTGAGGTTTTTATCGCTGTAGACCAGGGCCCCCTGGAACCCCAGCTTTCGTCCTCTTATATTGTTCCTTCTATCGGGATTGACGAACTCATTATATGACTCCTTACCTGATAAAATATCCAGGAAATTTTGATCCCTTTTACATACAGCTGTTTCTGTCAGATCAGTATGATACAATTTCTTAGAATAGAATAGAATAGAATAGAATAGAATAGAATAGAATAGAATAGAATAGAATAGAATAATTTTATTTCTATACCGCCCTTCTCCCGAAGGACTCAGGGCGGTGTACAGCCTATTAAAAGCACAAGACAAACATCAATTAAAATAATTTAAAATTATTAAATAATTCAGCTCAATTTAAAACCCCAGAAATTTAAAACACCCAATTTAAAATTATTATGTTGATAGCCCGGCCTGGCGGAACAACAGGGTCTTGAATGCACAGCGAAATACCCAGAGGTCGGAGATCTTACGCACTTCCGGGGGCAGTTCATTCCACAGGGCTGGGGCTCCCACAGAGAAGGCCCTCCCCCTGGGTGTCACCAGCCGACATAATTTGGCTGATGGAATAGAGCAAAATTCTGTTACGCTGTCTGTAAAATTCTGGTCGCCCATCGATGACCTCACCACTAACTGTAATATAATATTATGTTTTGCTTTGCTCTGCTTTTTTTCCCTTAATTTTATTTTAATGTTTAAAATTTTAACTCTGCAATAAAAGATAGGGCCAGGTAACTATCAACTATCAAATTAAACTATCAACATTTGAAATATAAAGTTAATTGCTCCGTAGCATGGGAACATTCTATTATGTTTTAAGTATTGCCAATTTTTTTAAAAAATTGTCATGACTGGATAATATTTTGTGATCTTTTTGGTTCATTTCCCCCCACCTAAATTTCCAAATATTTCTCTGCTAGGCATAGAAATAAGGAGGGATGGGCTAATTTTTGGTGCCAGGTTTGGTACCATGGACAGCTCCCAATGACAATCTCTGCTGATTATGTTACAGCTTCTGCACCAGGCTGATCTCATCTTGAATAGGAAGGCCCTTCATTAACTGTTGTTGGTAGAACATCAAGATTAGCCAGATTACTGTAAATACCCATCAGTGATGAATAGTGAATATGTTATAGTACGACTAGGGAAAAGAGAAAGGTCAGTTTCAAAGGTTGAAGTAATAGCTCAGGGAAAATTCTGGTCCTGTCCTTCTGTCAGTGTAAATCCTGGACAAGTTCCTTCACCTTTTGTAAATACTTTCAGACCTTGAGCTTATCAAAACATCAGCCAAGAATCTACCAGAGGCTAAATCAAGGGTATTTTTTTCTTCTTAGAGAAATCAATTTGGTCAAGGAGGATGAAGCCAATTATACATCTGCAACCTTAGCTATGTGTTGTTTCTGAATGTATTGTATTTTTTTAAAGTTGATAGATAGTGTGGTTACAATTCTCTCCTGTAAATATCTCACCACTGTCCTTCAGTCTTCCTGGACTTTAACCTGATCTTGATTTGAAAAAGCCCCATTAGAGAGTGTGTCTCAAGAGTGGTGTGGTGGCCTAGAGGTGGAGCTCTCGCCTCACAATCCGGAGGCTGTGGGTTCGATCCTAGGTAGAGGCAGATATTTCTCTCTCTTGCAACACTGAGAATATATCTGCTGGGGAAAAAAAAAACTCCGTGTTGGCGACAGGATGGGTATCTGGCCAGTAAGCACTCAGCTCCATTCAGTTACCCAGACTCCACCCTGCAAGGGATTATGGGGTCATTAAAAGAGGATGAGATGATGAGAGAGTGTGTCTCAAGATATTTTCATTTAGATTTGACTGAAGAACAGGAATCAAAGATACTCTCCAATATGAAGATATATTTGCAAGTTTGGAAACATTCACAAACTCCTTATAATTAAAATAATCATTGCTAGGATTGTTTTCGCACAAAATTAGAAACAAAAAACTACCCCCTCAGATGAAATGCTAATTAAGAAGATACTTGAATGTGCTGACATGGACAGGATGACAATGGAGTTAAAAGAAAGAGAAGAGTTGTATTATTATAAAATTTGGAGTAGACTGTACAAGTGTAGAGAATAGAAGTCCAAATAAGAAATAAATGTTCCAAACCAATAACTATAATGGAAAGATAACAATATATATATATTGTTATCTTTCCATTATAGTTATTGGTTTGGAACATTTATTTCTTATTTGGACTTCTATTCTCTACACTTGTACTTATTTTTTTATTTTTCTTATTGTTGTTTTACTTGTGATTTTTAAACTTGGAAAATGTTCAATAAAAACTATTTTTTTAAAAAAAAAAAAATAATAGCAAAAACTCAAATATCACCTAGGAGAACTGCAATAAATAAAGTATTTGATGCCTTGAATGAAATTCAGTTTTTAAATAAAATTTGAAGGAGAATGAAAAAAAGTTCAACAATTTTAATGACATATGATATGCCAAACATGCCTCGGCATTTACAACATGAAGTTGATGACGTATGAGATACGTATATATGTATATGTAATGATATGTATATATGTTTATGTGTGTATACTCACATGCACAATGGGTGGCTATATAAATTGGGTATAAAAATGAGACTACATACTTTCTATGGAGAGATCCGTCAGCAGATTATGTGCTTTAGTGTCCAAAATATATTAAAGAGTGTCTGTACACTATACACTGACCTTTCCAGAATACAGATCTGAATACAATCAGGGTAACGTAGGAAAAGACTAAGACTGAGAGGGTTTTTTCATGCTTAACAATTCTATGCTGTTTATTTTAGGTTATACTCAGTTGGTGGCCGAGACGGAAGTTCTTGCTTGAGTTCTATGGAGTATTACGATCCTCACACCAATAAATGGAACATGTGTGCTCCAATGTGCAAAAGAAGAGGAGGAGTTGGAGTGGCCACCTGTGATGGTTTTCTCTATGCTGTCGGAGGCCATGATGCCCCTGCCTCTAACCATTGCTCCAGACTCTTGGATTATGTTGAGAGGTATCCCATCTTCTATGAGTTTACTTTCAATGGGTCTGAAGGCAAACAAAGCCATTGATTTGAAATGTTCTTACCACCACAAAAAATTCATGGGTTTTGGAGATAGAGAAATCGATTTTCAATTCATTTTGGGAGTTCAAGATTAAGTGATAAAAAATGGGTTTTTTCTCTCCTTCTCTCTCCTCAACTCACTTCTTTTCTCTGTCTTTGTTGTCTTATATTCCAAATTAAAAAAATGTTGCAATGTTTCAATCTCCCTTGAACTGAATTCTTGATTACATCATGGGTAGGTGCTTGGCAGTAGTGGGTTTCAAATCCCGGTGCTACCAGTTCACTATTGGCATGCACAGAGCATTTTTTATGATGTCTAGGTGGGTGGGCGGAGCTTCCCACCGCCACCGCTACTGGTTTGCCCAAACTGGGGCGAACCAGTAGCAACCCACCACTGGTGCTTGGGCAAAGACAACAGAGTAGCTTGCATTGTCTTCATCTGGGATATTTGTCTGACTTCCCAATCAATCCTTGAAGTTACCAAGTGCTAAATAATACTTGGTAAGTACTATCAAGTACTACATAGATTCAACCTTAATCTGCTTTCCCATGACTCTACATAAGCACTTATTATCTTCAAACCTGGGGAAAAATCATAGATTCAAGACAATTGTGGGCCTGTGGATGATGGATTTGTGTGGATAAATGTGTTTTATTTTACAAGCATACCTAGCAAGCGTAAGCTTTATTTTTACAGGCTTTAGGACAATAAACTTCAGTATAGTATTCGCTGCAGAATTGTCTTCTTTTTTTTTTTTCCACTCAAAGAATCTGGATGAATGCCCATCACCACACAGAAAACAAAACACGGCCATAATGAATAGAAATTGTATTTCGTTTTTCTTTGTTTTTGTTTTCTAAAGGAGTAGCAGGGGAGTAATAGAATACTTAAAACTACCCCAGACAGACCTAGAAAGAAATGAGTATTCAGACTGAAAAGCTGCCTTCATTTTATAGCTTTATTTCATCTCCTTAAAAAAAAATGGCCCTGTACTTAATCTTCGTAATAACATGATGTGCCCCAAGGTGAAACAGGAGATACCATAAAGTTTTTGCATACAAAAAGAAATCAATTTGCTAGTGCTGAGCTGAAAGTAGGGGAAAAAAGCTTTTCGGCTTTCCATTGCCTAAAACCTTTTAACCTCAGCCGGAGTATAATAATTGCTGCGAAGTGTAAGAAAAATATGTATTTTGAATTGAAATATATTGACAGTTTTGCAACCCTGTTCAATATTCTCTTAAGATATAATACAATTAAGAATGAAGGGATGTTTTACTTGGCTTTAACTAATAAAATTAAATCCAACCCCAATCGTTTTTTTGTTTTTTAAAAAAAGATATTTTACCTAACGGAAAACTGAAATGGTTACACTATTAACTATTGCTGTCAGCTTTGGAAGCCATATTAGACCAGAAGCTTCCATGCTGCCACCTTCTCATGTGTGGGACAGTAGAAGGAGGGATTTGGTAGAGGGGTAGACATAATAGCATTCTTCCTGTCGGTCAAGGTCAGGGCGATCCTGCATCTGGAGAAGGAGTGGTCGGAGTGAGGTCTCGAGATGGGACGGCGGTTGATTGGAGCATGTGATCGACTGAGGAGTGAGGGGATGGTTTGGGGGTTTTTGATTTACTGAGGGAAAACCTGGACCTCTCAGATTCGGGTTTTCCCAGATGTGCCAGTTTACCTATTGTAGTAAATAGAACTTTGAAAAATGCTTGCTTCAGAGTCTTTACTTGGAGTTGGGGGTTTTCTGGAATGCTGTCAATTGCCTTATATTCTAATCACATTGTTCAGAATGGACCAAGAAACCAACTAAGCAGTTAAGGCATACACACATATCTTAACATTTATGCATTACATCGCTCCAGCATTAATGCTTCAAATATATGTTTCGACTTCACACTGCAAGGTATCTGAATACTCAAAGCATATTTCAGCTTGGTCTAAGAAGAAAATAGCCACATTATTAAGCACCCAAATGAATGAAAAGAATTCTCTGAAGGCAATAACAGTATTTTAGTGAAGAAAATAATTAGATCATGATATAGAATTAGAATTAGAATTAGAATTAGAATTAGAATTAGAATTAGAATTAGAATTAGAATTAGAATTAGAATTAGAATTAGAATTAGAATTAGAATTAGAATTAATTAGAGAGTTGGAAGGGACCTTGGAGGTCTTCTACTCCAACCTCCTGCTTAGGCAGGAAACCCTACACCACTTCAGACAAAAGGTTATGCAACGTCTTCTTAAAAATTGTTGGAGTGTTGGAGCATTCACAACTTCTGCAGGCAAGTCGTTCCACTGATTAATTGTTCCAACTGTCAGGAAATTTCTCCTTAGCTCTAAGTTGCTTCTCTCCTTGATTAGTTTCCACCCATTGCTTCTTGTTTTGCCTTCTGGTGTTTTGAAAATAGGTTGATTCCCTCTTCTTTGTCACAGCCTATGAGATACTGGAACACTGCACTATCATCCATTTACCTTCTATGGCAAAACAGACTGATTTTGGAAATATGTCCCCAAGGAAACTATTGGACCTCTAGGACAGAAAGATGTACGGTGTTAAAAGTCATCTTGATTCCTAAATATGTTCTCATCTGGTATACTTTGTCTTTTGTTGCATAGGTATGACCCCAAAACTGATACCTGGACAATGGTGGCCCCGTTGAGCATGCCTCGTGATGCTGTGGGCGTTTGCATCCTTGGCGATAAGCTATATGCGGTGGGTGGCTATGATGGCCAGACGTACCTAAATACAATGGAGTCCTATGATCCACAGACCAACGAATGGACACAGGTATCCCTCACTGTGTGCTTTGCATGCAACTGATAGCAGGCTTGGAGAGATCATGGATAGCTGAGGCTTCATAGCACTGCAATTATAGCAATGATTTACTCTACAACAAGGGTGTCAAATTCAAAGGCCGTGGGCTGGATTCGGGCCGCGATGTGCTTAGATCCGGCCAGTGGTGGGATTCAAGTAATTTAACAACCGGTTCTCTGCCCTAATGATTTCTTCCAACAACCAGTTTGCCAAACTGCTCAGAAAGTTAACAACCGGTTCTCCTGAAGTTGTGCGAACTGGCTGAATCCCACCACTGGATCTGGCCCAGAGGGTCACTCTGGAAACAGTGAAGGACCAGCCCATGGTACCTTTGCCAGCAAAAACAGAACTTGGGAGGGCCGAGCACATCCCGCCCGGGCTCCATTTTTGGTCACAGCGGCCTCTTTCAGCGCTCTGACAGCGAAAACAGAGTCTGGGAGGAGTACCCCTGACATGAGTGATGTCGAGCCGGCCACACAACTTGGCCCCCGAGGTCAAACACAACCCTGATGCGGCCCTCAATGAATTCAAGTTTGACACCCCTGCTCTACAACTTCTTAAACGTCATATTAAACAAAAGCCAATATTTTGTTCCTAGATGATCAAGAAAACATTTTATGAAATAAACAATGGAATAATGAAATAAATAAATAATAAATAATGAAATAATGGGTTAATCATTGATCTTCCCAGTCGTGGAACCCTATTATTGTTATCAGATCTTTGGTTGGAAAACTTGTGTTGTTCTTTTTAGTTTGTGTTGAACTTTTGTCAGGTACAATGGTGACTTTTCCCATCTCTCTTACTTAAAATTCCAGCTCTTGTCTAGTTTTATAGAAAAAGAGTTGATGAAGCTCAGAGTTCCTTCTTAATTAGAATTAGAATTATTTATTTATTGGCCAAGTGGGATTGGACACACAAGGAATTTGTCTTTGGTGCATATGCTCTCAGTGTACATAAAAAGAAAAGATACATTTGTTAAGAATTATAAGGTACAGCACTTGATGATAGTCATAGGGTACAAATAAGCAATCAAATCATACTAGGAAACAATCAATATAAATCGTAAGGATACAGCAACAAGTTGCAGTCATGCAGTCATAAGTGGGAGGAGATGGGTGATAGCAATGATGAGAAGATTAATAGTAATAGTAATGCAGGGAGGGAGGGAGGGAGGGAGGGAGGGAGGAAGGAAGGAAGGAAGGAAGGAAGGAAGGAAGGAAGGAAGGAAGGAAGGAAGGAAGGTATTGTGGCCCGTCAGCAGCCTGTGCAACTAGTAGCTGATTCCGACAGCAAGGAGGCTGGTGTGGTACTGCGCCAGCAGCCTGTGTAGTTGGCACTCGAGTCAGACAATGAGGAGGCTGGAGAAGATGTGGTGCCAGAGGCAAGGATTCAGCCAGGGCCTTCAGAACCTCCAGAAACTCCTATAAGTGAAGAGGAAGAAGAGGAGGAGCCTCTTCTCGATGCACGGGCGCACAGAGCTGCCAAAAGGCAGGAATGGCTCCTCAGGAGGAGGTCTCCTCGAGAGTAAGGCTTGGGGCTAATTGGCCACTCCCTTAGCTTATTTAAGGAAGAGCGACGACTGAGGCAATTTGCAGGGAACAACTTCGTTCAGTCTCATTCACGTCTTGATCTTAATTCTCTTATCAGTTTCCTGCAAATTGCTTCTGCCAACCATAGTACGATTATGATTATTTATTCTTTGGATTCTTGTAGGCTGTTAAGAAAGTTAATTAACAGCCTTTGTTTGAAAAAGACTGATTTAATTTAGCAAACTAAGGGTTGTACAGACTTTGTGTGTGCTGAATTCTTTGGGGTCCATAGCTGGGGCAGAACAGAAGGAAGGAAGGGAGGGAGGGAGGGAGGGAGGGAGGAAGGAAGGAAGGAAGGAAGGAAGGAAGGAAGGAAGGAAGGAAGGAAGGAAGGAAGGTTTAAATAAGCTTGTCATGCATTAATATCCATGTGGAAATTCTGGATAGGATGAATTTGACTACTGCTTATGAATTGTGCTAATATTTTATCAACTTTACAAAGTTCCTGAATTATGAATGGTCAATTCAAACTCCTCAGAAGTACATACAGGATCACAAACCATTAGCATTTCATCTTCACTTTGGAACTTAAACTTAATATTTATTTCTTCTCTGCAGATGGCATCTCTAAATATTGGAAGAGCTGGGGCCTGCGTCGTAGTCATAAAGCAGCCATGACACGATCTGTAATGGATTTTATTGACTTCTAAGCAGGATTTTTCTGCCAAACAAGAAAGAAAATTTTGTCAAGCAACAAGGTCAATAGATACCCTCAGTCTTCTGTTGATCACAACTCACAGACATTAAAATGAAGAGAACAAAATGAAGATTCAATGCCTTTTCCTATCAATAGATACTGTTTTATGGTATAACAAGGGGGAAAAAAATCTGTTTTAGTAGCCAATCTGTGTATGTGAAAAGGAAGAAATTCAGTTACTGATCTATTGGCTATTCAAAAGAAACCAAGCAAAAGACCAAATTTTCTTAACAAATGGATGGTTTTCATAGCACTAGATATTTTATCTCCATCACAGCACACTGTCACTTTGTAAAAACATAGCTTTTTTCTTAAAAAGTTGTATTTTATTTATTTGCATTCTTTTTCGCTTAAAGCCTTATCTTCAAACATTTTAGCACTTTGCTACTGACACAGACAATGATGAGACAGGACAAAATCCTAGTTTTGTTTCCTCTTGTAAGAAAGTACAAAGGCACAGTTCTTTTTCGTCATTGAAAACGATTCGACATATTAAACCATGGTTGTTTTCCTAATCAATGACTGGTCCTTCCACTAAATGGCTTGGGTGGAATTGTGTTTCTATCGAGTGTTGCCGAGCAAATGTGGTTCAGACTGAAGAGTGAACCTTCAGACAATTGAGGTTCGATGCCATAAAGGAGAGCCAAAGGAATACGACCCCAGATCTACCCTGCTCAAGCATGTGGAGCTTTCTTTCTTTCAAAGCTTTTGAACTTCTCCTGCATGTGAGATTTATGTAGAAGATGGAAAAAATGGCAGTTTGTCCACCGTTGCATTATCTAAGAGATATCATTGAGCAATTTTAAGGAAGAGACTCACTGGGACCTAGATGTGCAGCAGGGATGGGTTTCACTTACCTTTGCTACAATTTCTCTCGCGCGTGCAGATCGTATTTGATGACGTCCAGGCGGGTGGGCGGAGCTACCGGTTCGCCCGAACCGAGGCGAGCCGGTAACAACCCACCACTAGTGTGCAGTAAGAGAGATACGGAGGTTCTAATGCCTTTTGTGTTTTCAGAAGCCATCTTTACTGTGATTCAATATAATTTGAATTACTCTCCGATTGCTGATGATGATTGAACCTAAAGACTGACCCAATTTTTCAATGGGAGAACCAGCCCTCTTGCTTTTTTTAAAAAAAAAATAAGTGCCACTCAAAGGGATTGGCTTGAATATTTGGAGAAAGAATGTCTAACATGGTTTAAGATACACACTTCCAAATTGCTTTCTCCACCAGTGGCAAAATGTGGACAGATTGAAAGCAAGAAAAAGTGGCAAGAATTAGCATGTAAGAAAGGTTTTTAGAAGCCCATCTCTCTTCCGATTGAGTTGATAGCTTTTTTTATATCTGATCTTTAATTTAAAAATAAATTAAAAAAACAACTTTGGGGAGCTATTGCGTAAGGCTGCTATGTGATATCTGTTTTGGCTGTAAGGAATGAAACATTCATATACAAGAGGACGGAAGCCCAGATGTTTTGCCAGAATGATGTGCCCTGCCAGCAGAGCATCTGCTTTGCATGTATGAAAAAAAAATGTCAATGAGTCATGTTGCCTTTGTAAAATTCTGCTTTGTATACGAATGAGAGGCAGAAATCATCTTTGTGGTCACTCAATGCCCTGGATCATAAATGGGTGTAACTCTTGGCTGTATTATATCCTAAGCATGGTTGAACTTTCTTATTAAGGTACCAAAATGATGTTGATTTCCACTGCTACTTTGGGGGAGGGGAGGGAGAATCTGATTTCAAGGGTATTTTCAACTGGAGCAGGAATAAAATTTTGGCTAATGTGAAGTCCTTTTTTGGCTTGTCTTTCCCCATCCAGACTAATTTGCTAATTAAATAAAACATTGGTGTCCAAATGGTTTGGATCTTTCAGCCTTTTCATTTTGTCCTCAGTTATAATTGGTAGCTTGGTGTGAATTCTGTGATCTATCCATAATTTGAATGCCATAAATTAATGAAAAGCAAATAGGAAATAAACTTGCATTTTAGGGCTCAGGGAAGCGGGCTGTGGATTGGCCCTGGGTTTCAGGACAAAAATAAATGCTTTAGTCATTGTAAGGAGAACATAAACTTGCATGATAAAACCGTCAATCTAATTCCACACCAATGAATCATCTGTGATTGTAGGGATTATCTTTACTGCTTAGAAGTTTTGAAATTCAAAACAAAAACAAATTAAGGAAACTGCAAAGAACGTATGTAGAAAAGCATAGAGCAACTTGACATGTAGAGTCATCATTGGTGATTTAGTTCAATATACGTTCAGTTCCTACTTGCAAGTAAGATATCCTCATTTTGTAGGTTTGCATAGAACAAACTTACCATTCCTACATCGTCCTTTAAGGGTTGTTCTAAAATTAGAAAAGGCCAAGAATTAAATTAGACTTTAAAAAATATTTTAAAATGAAATGCATTATATTCATTAAATGTGTTAAAAGAAGTAAAATAATTTATTTATTTATTTATTTATTTATTTATTTATTTATTTATTTATTTATTTATTATATTTCTATACCGCCTTTCTCCCGTAGGACTCAAGGCGGTGTACAGTCAAGAAAAATATAGACACACAAACATCATAAAATTGCTAATTAAAATTATTACTTAGTTTGGTCAATTAAATAAAACCCAGAATTAGATAACATTAAAAAAAAATCATTCACATGTTCATATGTTTAGCCCCGCCTGTTGAAACATCAGGGTCTTGAGGGCACGGCAGAAAGCAGGAGATCAGGGATATTCCGTATCTCCGGGGGCAGTTCATTCCAAAGGGTTGGAGCTCTTACAGAGAAGGCCCTCCCCCTGGGAGTCGCCAGTCAGCATAATTTGACTGACGGTACTCTGAGTAGTCCCTCCCTATGAGAACGAACTGGTTGGTGGGAGGCTATTGGTGGCAAAAGACGGTCTCGTAGGTACCCAGTAAAATAATCTCACAGTATTTTCCCATGTGGCACTGGCATAATTCTTGTTGCAGGATCCAATCTGGGTCAGTCACTGGGACCAGAGGTTTTGTCTTCTGAGCTTTTGGACACATGCTGGAGCCCATCTTCAAGGAACTTCTCTCTAGCCAGAATGTTCTGACCTAGGCTTCCCAAAAGCATGAAGCCAACTCCTCGTCCCGATAAAACATCTTTTATTTAGGTTAAAGGGAAATTCACTCCAGAAAAGTCCCAGCAAACAGTCTTTCGTGAGATTTCACAACTATAGACCTTTATCAGGCTTGGAGAGCTGCCAGGCCGATATCTTCTAAACGCCACGCTGGAGCAACAATTACTTGGCAAGAAGTCAGGAACAGATCTTCACCCTAATTAATTGAACTAATTTTCTCCTGCAAATTCCCCTCCCCTTTCGCTGCTCTTTATTCCCTACAGGAGGGGCCATTCACTGTCCAACTGTTCCTTTACTCCTGAGTCGGCCCTTGTTCTTTAGCTGTTCTCTTTTCCTGGCAGCTCTGCACATGCGCACATCGGAAACAAGCTCCAGCTGTTCTTCTGCCCCACTGATATCCGACTCCGAAGGCAGCTGATAACTGTTGGACGGTCCAAGTCCCATCTCTGCCTCTGACACAGAGCACTCATCAGAGCCTTTCCCAGACTCCAGGACTGGCCCATGTTCCTCCCCAACCTTCTCACTGTCTGAGTCTGTCACCAGCTCTGCTGGTCTCTGGCAGGCCACAACACAGAAAGCTAGAGAGAAGTTCCCTGAAGATGGGCTCCAGCATGAGTGCAAAAGCTCATAAGACAAAAATTCTAATCCCAGTTAAAACTGGGATTTATCAATGTTAGGAAGGATTGCTATGATACACAATAAACAAGAATTGGACGACAGAGAATGAGATGGCTACATGGAGTCACTGAAGCAGTAGGCATGAGCTTAAATAGACTCCAGAGGATGGTGGAAGACAGGAAGGCCTGGAGGAACGTTGTCCATGGGGCCGTGATGGGTCAGATATAACTTCGCAACTAACAACAACAACAACAACAACAACAACAACAACAACATTCATTTATTAATATAATTTAGGAGCAGCATGGTGACCTAATGTTGAAGGCACTCACCTCTCATATGGAAAGTTGAGATTTCAATCCTAGAGTGCTGCAAATATTTTCCTTTCAGGGGACAAAGAGAAAACAAATCTGCTGTGAACTCTGCTTTGGTGTCAGGAAGGGCATCCTGGCAGTAAATGCTCAGTTCCATCCAGTCACCCCCAACTCTAGCCCAAATCAAGGGATTACAAGGTCATGAAAAAGGGAATTTTGGCTCTCACAAAAGGGGCTCTGAGTGGTAAGAAAAGAAGGGGAAAAAAACAGATTTTGACAGAAATATCCAGGATACGAATCTGTTAGATCAGTAATGGCGAACCTTTTCGGCACCAAGTGCCCAAACTGGAATGCACGTACATGTGTGTGCATGTGTGCCAGTGGTGGGTTTCAATTTTTTTTACTACCGGTTCTGTGGGTGTGGCTTGGTGGACATGGTATGGCTTGGTGGATGTGGCTTGGTGGGCATGGCAGGGGAAGGTTACTGCAAAATCCCCATTTCCTCCAGATCAGTTGGGACTCAGGAGGCAGAGAATAGATGGGGGTGGGGCCAGTAAGAATTTTTACTACCGGTTCTCCAAACTACTCAAAATTTCCACTACTGGTTCTCCAGAACTGTCAGAACCTGCTGAAACCCACATTTGATCTCTGCGTGCCAGAGCCCTGGAAACCCGAAGACCAGCTAGCCGGTGTGCATGCCTGTTATTTGGCTATTTTCAAACTGTTTTTCAGACCATTTTCAGGTCATTTTTTCAGGCAGTTTTCAGGCAGTTTTTCGGGCAGTTTTTGGCCCCAAAATGGCCTGTTTTTTGGCCATATTTTTGGCCATTTTCTGGTGCTCCAGCGCCCGTGAAGACCAGCTGGCCAGTGTTGGAAACCAGAAGAGCAACTGGTGATGGCGCACATGCCCAGAGAGAGGGCTCTGTGCGCCACCTCTGACCCGCGTGCCATAGGTTCACCATCACGGTGTTAGATGTTTGCTTTTTCCCTTCCACCCCATCCCTCTAGGGCAGGGGTGGGCAACTATGGCTCTTTTATGACTTGTGGACTTCAACTCCCAGAATTCCTGAGCCATGTTAGCTCAGGAATTCTGGGAATTGAAGTCCACAAGTCATAAAAGGGCCATAGTTGCCCACCTCTGTTCTAGGAACACAACACAAACCTTTTGGAAGCAAGTCAGATGAATGGCAGTCAGAGGGCGAGAAGAGACATCACATCAGAATCAGGGAGAATGAAGTCTGAGCATAGAATCCAGAAACAAAGGCTCTTTCTGGAATCCAAAATCCAGATGGTAGAATTATGCAGAGAAGGTGGTGATGAAAAACAGGTGGGTTTTTTTTTTTTGCAAACCAGAAGAAAAATATGACGGAAGGAAGCACGCTGCATAATAGACAACAGTATCTTTTGGGGTCAATGGTAAAGATTTTGCAAAAGGGCTACTGTGAAAATACAATAATATAAGCCAAAGAGCTGCTTCAGAGATATTCAGTGTACACTGAAATCCACAACAAAGAAACCAAATAGGATTTTTTTAAAAATTTTGTTTTTGCAGGTAACATTAACTAAAGTGCATTTGAAAGTCAAACACTCAGATTAAAATATTATCCAGCCTTGGAATTGATTTTAAGAATGTAAAGAAAACTCCCGGGTATTCTACTACGCATTACAAAAAAAAATAATACTTCCATTTCTTTTTACATGCATAGAAGAATAATTCTACTCCTGCTACTTATTATTATAATAATATATTTGCTTTATGCAAACAAGAGCAAATACAGAATCCAAGGTTATTTGTACGTGAATATGTCTGTGATACTGAAAAAGCAAACATTCAATGTTTTCAATTTCTACCCATAGAAAGATTTGTTTAAAGAAAGTCAAAGGAAAACAGGGTTCCTTGAATTAAAGTCATTGTGAATGAGATGGCAGGCATCTAAATTTGATCAATAAAATAAAATAGAGACCAAATTTGAATGAAACCCTTATTTGGTGTCGGATTCTGTACTGTTATATTCATAGCAGTTAGGCCCTGCGGAGCCATTTACTGCTACAGTATATGGCTCAAAGCAATTTGAGTTTTAAAATTTTAATATTTATTTTAAATTGACAATTTTTAAATTATGGGCCAAATTTATAAATTATTTTAACTTTATTTTTTTAACTGTGATGTTTGTATAGATGTTTTTTATCTGGCTGTTCACCGCCCTGAGTCCGAAAGGAGAAGGGCGGTATAGAAATTCAAATAATAAATAAATAAATAAATAAATTTCCCATAGATTTGAACATGATTCATAACTATTTTTATTGTTGTTTTTTTTGGGGGGGGGGGGAAGAGTCAGAAATCCTTGCCTATCAGTTGCAACTGATTCGGAGATTTCTTTGTAGATTTCAAAGTATCTTCTGTTCCCCTCTGGCTATCCTACTTTGTTATTAGATGGGTTTTATGCAGCCAGATCAGAGTTGGTATTCAGCCGGTTTGGATCTGTTCAGGCGAATCGGTAGCGGAAATCATGGGAGGGTCTGCCCCCCCGCCCCCCCGCACCCCCATGCCCCGTGCCCCCCGCACCCCCCACTCCGGCTCTATGCTGCCCTATTTAGGCACATTTTTTTCGGCCGGGCGCACACACACGCTCACATTTTTGGTGCTGGCCAAACCGGTAGGTAAATTATGTGGATCCCACCTCTGAGCCACATCTCAACTATTCTTGATGCCAAAGGTTGGGTAGCGCCTGATCCTTAAGCATCACTTCTAACTCACACAGCTATAATGCTCAAATGATGCTATAATTGACCTGCCAGGGATTCTGGCATATGTGGTC